GGCCAATCAATATCTTGGTTACATTATGTTCTTATTAGTTTAGTGTCCATCTAATCTATAATCAAACAATTAAGGGTCGTTTTATCTAACGCCAGATATATTTTAATTGAGGTATAACTTTGAAATTGACAATTGTTCCGTAACTGTCCAATGTCAATTTTATTCTACAGTTAAGAATTAACTGATGTTTGTTAAATCGGCCCTTAATCCTTTAATTTTACCCTCATTATTATCACCATCTGACCATTTCTATCCACTGTAAGAAAGGCCTCTCCAATAGTACTTATTGTCAAGTTTGAGTACCACAATTACCATATCCATTGCGCCGAGAAAATATACATGTTTTGAAAGCCAATAACTGCAGTACCTCGGTGACGTAATCCGACCCCAGATAGCATTAATCCGAATGTCTAAGTTTCTAGCGAGAATAAACGGCTCTTTACATTTATAAAGAAGTTATCAACAGAAGTTTTACTTTCAAATATATGTTATTATTGAATGAAGTAGTTATGTTTAATTCTGGATGATAATGGGTTTTGTTTGGTGGATGTATTTAGATATAGAATTTAGGAATGAGCCTCGTTCTACTAAGGAGTGCATTTTTTAAAGGGGTCATATTTACCTAATGCCTTGGATGAGGCAAAAGGGGATGTCAGACTCTTACTGACTAAAAACCACCCCCGTTCCTACTCCTACTTTGAACTGGAGCCCGGTAACCACTAAAGTTGTCCGCAGGTCCGGACACTAAGGAGCACTAAGGACTAATTAAACTCCTTCATCTGCATAATACAGATATTTGTGGAAAATAGACCAAAGAGACTGTAAATTCAAATTCTACATGATATTGGTCCTTTTGTACGCGTCATTTCATAGCATCTAGTGCGGTCAATGCGTTGGCGATGTAACGCAATGTCACGATACTACACTAACTACACCTCGGGAACTATTACGAGGTGGACACATAAAACACAATCAATTCAAACACCGAGACCGACCGTATAAAACAGATTTATTTCATGTGCTCTTGTCATAGACTTTCCTTGGGGACTTCGTGGTTTTGTTTCAAGTAGGATATCAATCAAGTGTTGGGGAATTTATCAATACCTGACTAGACTTTTCATTCTCATCCGAAGCAGATGATAACTATCTGCAGTATCTACCGGTCTACGCAAAGATATTCTTAATAAGTTTTAATTAATTCGAAAAGTATTTTAATGTCGATCGCGATCATTAAGCCAATATCTATAACAGTTTGTTAAGTCGACATTAATATAATAAACAACCATTTATTATTATTGGTTCCCAAGCCGTTTACAGTATACTCACATAAAAATATCTCTCCGTAATGAGCAAATATGACAATCATTATCTTAAATCGTGTTTAATTCTAGGAGAGGCGCGGTGCGGATTAAGTACTAGCAGTCATTGTAGCGAGCTGATCCGCTCAAGAAATGAAGTACGCTTTAATGTCATATTACTTTTAAGAGTTTTTTTATTGTAGCTACCGGTTATTTGCAGTAGATAATGATATACCCAGCCGGCTAGCGGCTGCGGGATCGCTGCTCCTAAAAAGATCTAATTGCGTCCTATAGTGTCGCATCGTTTATGCGACCTTTAATTTGTTGATGCACAGGAGCCCCTGTCTTTATATCCACGGTTTTTTTTCTCCAAACCAGTTTACTGTCTTCTCTTAATATGTCAAAGTAACACGCTCCGAGTCATTAACTTTGTAGCGCTTCAAATAGGTTTTTCTTCGCTTTTTGTGATAGCAAAGGCGCTTTTTTCAACAGCTCGCTAGTTAAAATAATTAGAGGATTCATTAACTATGAGGAAGGGTGTCCACTGGAACATGTCTGCGACTTACTTTACAACTGCTTTGTTGCTTTTCTTATCAATATTTTTTCTGCTGGGTGAGTGCATATTGTTATTCTTTTTTTCTTCCCTGGGGCTGGCAATGAAAACCGGCTTATTTTGCATTTTTATTGAAGCTTGCTTTGTTTTTCAAATTAACAATTTCCCGTCCTGATCCTCTGCTGCTGTCTGTGTTGCCAATGTGATGTGAATAGACGAGCGGGTTGAGGCAATATTAATGAAATTCCATTCATGGACATATAACTGGTTGATGCGGCGTATAAAAATGGTCGGCTAGTTAATTATAATGTTATCGTGCGGGGTGTGTCGCCCCCGGCGGCGGTGGCAGGGTGCGCTCGCCCATCTCACGAGAACGCCACAACAATGTTGAGAAACGTGACGGGCTTATGTGATCAATAGTTGCATGAAAGTCGAGAACAATGACTATGAGAGCTAGTCGCGAGAAACTGTCGCGGGTCATAGCGTTTTTGCACAATATTGTGATCTCCGCGGCCGCTTGAGCGCCCCAATAAAATGCTGATTAACATTTTTCTTGAGAGCAAAAACCTAATCAATTATAAATGTCGCGTTAATTTAAGTATTTAATCTTTTTTGAACGTGATGCAGTGAGAAAAATCCACGGCTGCATAATTTGTTATTAAACAATGGTGGCTAATAAATGTAGTGTCTTAGTAGGCTTTTAACACGTTACTGCCAAGATTAGTTGTATTTATTAATATTAATACTTCCCTTTTTACCAAAACTACCAATGTTTTACTACAAAAGAGATATGTCCCGTTCAATGCATTGAGAGTAAATGGTTCAAAATATTTACTTTGTTCTGAGAAGGGCAGATTTATGGAGGTCGTTACGAATACTAAAGCCTTTAATTGGTTCAAAAATCACATGATTTGGGAAATTTTATTGTAACGGTTATGTAGAGAAAGCAATTGGCTCCAATGGTATATTTATTGTCGCTATTTATCTGGCCAGAGAATGGCGGGAGGGAACGAGTTTGCGTGGTGGTAAAAACTCGGCTGGTGCCGAAGCGGGAATGTATCGGCTCCCGGCGACTCATGGAGGAATTTCATCCGGAATCTCTAATTAAAACTTTATCTAGTCTCTCTCCTGATTCGTGGAAAACGTTCTATTGTACAGACAGAACTACCATTTCGAACATAGCTAGTTATTAAAATATTTTAAATTAAAGTCGTCACCGGTATTCCGTCCGGTTGCCCGCTCCGTTACATTTTATTCTATTTGATTGGTTCCAGTTTAATCAGCAGAGTAGTTTACCGCTGGGTATTATCAATGTCAAAATGCAATTATCGTTAAGACATTGTACGGTAATAAACGGTTCGTATCTTAGCAGGATGAGTGTTAACGGTGCACCGGTCTGCATCATCTGTAAGGGTTAAAACTCTATATACGGCGGACAGTAAAAAGGTGGCTGGCATTACGCAGCAGACGTTTATTAATATTTGTGTGTCAATTAACATTTTTCACAACAGTTAATTTGCGGATAACTAGAGTGCTAAAAAGGGTTCTTGGACAAATGTATTATATCAGATACACATTTATAGAATTCGTCGAAACTTGCCTTAATGTTTGTTCAACTGCGGAGTCCGTGTGAAATACATGCACCCAGTCTGTGGAAACGTGGGAGTTATGATTTATGTATCTAATTTCTAGAACCGATTAGATCGATAGTTAATATCCGTTTTAATTTATCTAATTTGTTTCAATGACGTAATAATTAAATATTAATAATAACTTAACGTTTTGCTAATTTGCAACCAGTTTAAATTTATAATTGTCATGATATTGTCAATAATTTTTGAACTTGTAACAGATGGCCAATTAAACCGCTTAGCTAAATATGTGATGTTTTGGTTGGTATACTAAAAATTTCAGAGCTAGCTATGTTTGGTGACTCGAAAGTGCAAATTCCCGTCGCATCGCGTTTCGATGACGTGCTCGTCGCGTCGTGGTCATCATTCGCGACCACTCGTTTCACAAACTCCGAAATGCTAAAAATGGCATAAATAATTTATACGTGGCTTGCTCGAGCTCCGTTTTTGTCGCGGCCGACCTGTCCACTGATGCATTTATAATATAAGGGTGCTTTTTGCATCGTCCCCCGGCGGCACTGGAATGCAACCGCTAAAATTGATCATGTTTCAAACGTGAGCTGAAGGAGTAATGCTGGTGGTGCTTGCTCACTGCGGTCGGGCTAAAATGTTGCGGTTCAGCCTAATGCATGCGAGTAATGTGTATGTATTGTAACACCGGATCCGACCCGTGATTCGTGCATACGGCATTAGTTATGCCTGCCATTACTACATACCTATTTCGATCTGAACCGTGACGCTACATTAGACAGAATACGATCAACTTGACAAAAGACTGGCCTGAGATACTTGTCTGATGAATACAATTACAATAAAATCATAGTCTATTTCTTAGATTGTTTCTGGAATGAAATGAAAAGCCCAGAAACGAATGATAACAATGAGCCCTCCAAATGTTTCCGAACAATATCGTAAGGTAAATATTTTTGCTATCAATTAGAAACTTGGGGAGTTTTTCGTCGTCTTATTCTAGTTGCGTATTATTCTTGTCTTGATTTTATTTCAAAGTTATGTTGTTTGAATTCGAGAGGCATTTCATTTATTTAAAAAAGAGGTATGATACCAAATATTTCATACACAATTACACAAGTAACGGTTACATATTTAGGTTGATGTTTAAATATTTTAATGAAGATGTACGTACGCAATACTTTTTAATACTTTCGCCTAATTAAAGGCAACTTTCTGCAATTATTTGTTTACATTAAAACATCTGCGCCATAAGCCATAATTAATTGAACTTTAAAACTGTCAAAGGAATTAAACGTCGATCATTTGTCTTGTGCTGTGTTAATTGAATTAAAACCATAAGACGATAATTATAGGTCTTATAATTGCTGTGCTGTAAGCGTGACATTATAATTTGCAATTATTTAAGTTTTTTATGAGAACATTTTGTTTTTGAGTTATTATGATTATGAATTAGTATTCTAGATGGGAATCGATTTGACGACATGTAGAGGCATGTTTGTTGATGTAATTTGTAGAAAATTGTTAACATGCAGTTTTTTTTTGCAGTAAACAGGCTGTGTTTGATGGCAAGAGGGCGATACGAGGTGGAATACCGTTTGTTTTCCGTAAGTGAAGATAATTCTATATATACGTACTTAAGGCTATCTGCTATAAATTAATAATAAAAGCTACTGTTATATACAATATGTGTACTGTTGGTGTTTTCAAACTGGTATTATCAAAAATACCCTTTCGGTTTTCTTTCTTTGTTACAATAGCTATTTCATTTAAAATGTGGTCCTTTGGCACCATAAAGGACCACATTTTAACCACATTTTGTTCTGCTACGGTTTAAATGGGTGTTTTTTTTAATACAGTGTCTATTTGAATCTGTCGCCGATAATACAGAATACACAAAAATTAACATTTACTGAATACGACTTTATTCGGATTGCTTTTCTTATTTATCTGTGTTAGTTATGGCATAGACATGGAGTCAATGGGTTCCTTGTTATTTATTGATTGCATAGAAGTGTTTGAGGTTTTCGTTACAATTAAATTATTATTCAGCAATGCGTGACGACAGAGATTATAATACTTATGTCACTAGAACTACTCCGTGCCACATTTGATAGAGATCAGGCAGAAGCGTTCTCTAATAAAACTGATTTTTTTAAATAACGATCTCTATTCCATGCTCTATGCACGCGTGGCAAACTCATAAGTCCAGCATTGACTTTTTTTTGTGGTGAATGTTAAAAGTATTTAATTTTAGGCAAAATAATTATAATATTATATTGAAAATTACAGCTCAGTTCGGTCAATGGGCGTTCGGTCCGCAGCACGGGTTCGCCCGGATAGCTCGCTGGCATGTCGAGAAAATGCCGGAGCGACTGCCCAGCGGCGACGTCGAAGCTGTCTTCAGCCTCATGGATGACGACTTCACAAGGTCCATGTGGCATTTCCAGTTAGTACATTTTTGTTTGCATAAAATCGTCTATTCATTATGGGTATACCTATGTATCGTAAGAATTTATCTTATTTTATGCAGTTTTTTTTATTACATAAGTCCTATGGTAAACGAGCAGACGGATCACCTGTTGGTAAGCAATCGGCGTCGCCCGTGAATACCTGGAACACCAGGGGCGTTACAAGTGCGTTACCGGCCTTTTGGGGATTAGAAGTTTAAGGATCGTTGGGGATTCAGGGATTGGGGAGATTGGGGAAGGGGAGGATAATTGGGCCTCCGGTAACCTCACTCACACGACGAAACACAACGCAAGCGTTGCTTCACGTCGGTTTTCTGTGACGCCGCGGCGTCACAAAACCGACGTGAGTGATACCACGGCGCGCCGTGGTATCACTCCGGTCAAGCCGGCCTATTCGTGCCGAAGCATGGCTCTCCCACACGTTAAAAGTGGGGTTCTCAGCTCAGTGGCTCAAAAAAATCAGCCTAGAAATACCTAGGCAGGTAGACTAACTGCTGATTTCAACAACCGATTTATTAAATCAATATATCTCTGCCACCTTTACGGGTTACCGGGGCTACGGTTCAAAGGCGTAGTAGGAACAGGGTGGTATTTAGTCAGTAGGAGTCTGACACTCTCTCGCCTCACCCAAGGGGGAAGAAGTCATTGGATGGTTTTCCCCCCTTAAAAAACCAAGATCTGGATCTATCCTAATTTTTAGCAGAGACTCCATAGAGCTCATGTTGAAAATAGTTCTCGAACCTGTGTCTTTAGCCAAAGACCACTTTAGCGCTAGTCTACAGAGAGAGTAGAAAACTAAATGTATGGGGATAACACTGGCAAGTGTCAAAATTTACGTCAATTCCATATAATTTGGTTTTCTCTTCTACATGTAGACAAGCGCTAAATGGCATTTGGCTGCAGCTGCTGCTTTTCAATAATGGGGATGAAGGCAAACTCTCTGATCCAGTAGTGGACTATAACAAGCCGTTGCACTATTAATTTTTTTATTAATTCCTCAACATCTTCCCCCAGGTTCAGACTGACATACAGACTGATACTTCGCGAGAAGGAGCTGCACTTCAACATCGGCGTGTACAACCCCAGCAAGGAGCTCACCTTCAGCTGCCAGATGTTGCTCCACACCTACTTCAAGGTGCCCGACGTCAGGCGTTGCCAGATCACCGGAATGCATGGCTGCATGTTCATCGATAAGGTATTTTTAGTTTTGTTTAATTTTTATTACAGCAAATAAAAAATAAATTTTCGTAATACTAAGCCTATTGCACTATTGCCGGAATACTGAAACGTTACTCAATTTTAAGTCGTGCTTAAATATCGTGCCATCTCTGTCATTTTACAAAGAATATGTAGAGACAGAACTATACTTAAGCACGACTTAAAATTGAGTAGCGTTTGAGTATTCCGACTTATGATCCGTTGAAATTTCAATTTTTAAAGTCTACTGCGGTGTATATGATTTGTTCTCTATTGTATCTATGAACTATGGTCTAAAGAAGTGTGTCTGAAATAAGTTTTACAATCAATTACGAACTTCCCATTTGCTGTTCCCAAACATAACTTTCCTCTAATGAGGAAAAATTATTCTTAGAATTGGATTTTAGTTCAAGTTGCCACTGTAAGTCAGCTACTAAACAAGTGTAGACTTCATAATCAATTTTGAAAGTAAGTACCTAAATGATTTTTGAAAGTATTTATGCAACTTATTGATTTTTTTTGCCATGTTGTAATGACGTCATTGGTCAAAGGTTGGCTATTATGACGTCTGTACACATTTGACGTCATAATTTCTATTCATACTGTCACATCCGAGATCAAGTGACGACATGACAAGTTGTCTAATTGTTCTTAACTGTCGAAATGTCAAGAAATGAATTATATTCATTTTTGTGTGTCATTTGCGTCATTATAACTTCATAGGGTATTGTTATAGCAATCTAATGTGACAGTTCTATAGGTCAAAGTCATTAACAGTTACTGTATTAATATTTTGTGTCATTAAATAATCCGTAAATTAATTAATTTTAGCTACAGTACATTTTTATACTTTATAAGTTATGCAAGCAGCAAATATGTATTTGTTGACATGCCTCCCATAACCTCAGTAAATCTGATGCTGTCTGGCTGTTCATTGGCTTTAAGAACTGGCCCTTTGCCGCGCTTCTATTCTTTATCGCAGTCGTGACGTGACGAAAGCCTACAAAACTCTTAAGAATTATCTTCTTCGTTCTTGAGATTAAAGACTTCTTTAGTCCTAAATATAAAAAAAACTTAGAAGACAGTTTGAGAATAATTTGTTATTCCAACCTTCTTTCTATATTGTAGACTCGAGAAGGCGCAGTGTACCAGGAGACGCGCGAGGTGGTGACCATCAACGAGTGGACGGACAGGATCTACCAGAACACGATGCAGGAGCACATCATCACCAACGTCGTAAGCGGACGCAAGATGAGGATACAGAAGTACAACTTCCCCGATACTGGTGCGTACACTGTCTACTTTATTAACCTGTTGAAATATCATCCCCTAAATTTGTTCATACAAAAGTAGTCTCTAAACATCAGAAATATGGTCTATAATGTAGTTAGTAGTCACCGGTGACCGCTTGGGGTAGGAATTAACTAAAAATCGCGGGTTATTCACGTGAATATGCTGAGAAAAGCTGTACTAGTTTCGAACCACATGTCTTCCTCATGAGCAGCGTGCGCGCTCGCGGCGATATCGCGCAGCCTACAGCCTATTCACGTGAGTAACCCGAACCCGATCTTCAGTTAATTTAGTATGTCTCACGATAGTTATTATAAAAACTTATTAATAGGAAATTGGAAATGTCTCAATTTTGGAAATAGATTAGACGTTACGTACTTACTAATTTGCTCCAAGGATTTTTAATTAAGTATGTAGACCGTTATACAACTTTCTAAGTTTGTCAGAATCTGAGCAACAGTAATTTCTGACACACACACATCTAAAAATGGTTAATTGGTTTTTTTCTACTCAGAGATACCGTATTTTGATTTGATTTTGATCATATGACTGACGAAATTTAGAACTTTTACATTAAAAGTGTCTTCTGTCTACTCCTTCATCGTTCTCTCTTTACTATGAATGTTTTTATTCATAATTGGTATCTCCTCAGTAATCTGGAACCCATGGGCGGAGTACGCGAAAGAGATCCCTGACTTCGGCGACGACGAGTTCCCGAACATGGTGTGCGTGGAGGCAGGCCGCGTGGCCGCGCCCATCGTACTGCTGCCCGGCACCGCCTTCGAGGCCAGCCAGATACTGCAGGTATGATCACCGCCTGAATCTGATATATTCTAAATCTAAATAAACTCGTGCACTGCTTGATGTAAAACAAAAGTTTATAGACGTCAGTAACACTTGCGGAGTAACTCATGGCTTTACCGATCTTTTACTATATATTTAAGTAATTAAAGTCCGATTGTCAAATCAGACAAACCAGCAAACCCCAGTCTTCAGAGTCGCGGAGAACCTAACGAGTAACCGGGGCTCCGGCTCGACGTGGAGGAGAAGGAACGGGGTGGTTTTTAGTCAGTAAGAGTCTGACACTCCCTCCCGCCTCACCCAGGCGGGAGCAGTCATTCGATGATTTTTCCCCCCTAAAAAAAAACAACGTCTCAATCCTTAAATCCCAACACCCTGGACTGGCTCGGTTACTTACCATCACGTGATTCATCTCCTTGTTTGCCGCTATTTAGTAAAAATCACACACAATTTTTCTTTGTTCAACTCTTCATAATTTACTGTAAACACCACTCTGTAAGGCTTTATTTTGGTAGGTATAAGAATAAACAATTATTATTATTTTAGCATTTGATCGATTGTAAACTAAATTCGTTTCTATGATTTGCAGGTGATGTAAGAGACTGGACGACCCACATACAACGCAGCCGTCCACAGGAGCCGAGTCAGGTGTACTCACTCGCCGGCCACGTAGCCAGGGCTCTACGCATCATTCCTCTACACTATGGCATATACTGACTCTTAACTTCTTCACTAACGGTAAATGTTTAAATTGTCATTTCTAGACGCATTTTTAATTCTGATTCAGATGTAAATCAACTTAACTGTAATCGTAAATGAGAAAGGAGACCACTAAGGAAGAAGATATCTTCAATTTAATGTTATTACAGAAATTCTTATTCATATGTGTAGCCAGTGTATGTCATTGTGTACAACTCTTTTACATAGTAAACGAATAATCATTAGTATCCCAGTAATTTTTGTACTTTTGCAAATATCAGTAGGTTCAAATATTCATACATCATCGTCATTATTTGTAGTTGTAATTAAATACAATTCGTTCGGATGTCAATTTGTAGCATAGACATGTCGTGGGTTTTAGAAACCTAACGATGTTCGGAACTTTTTTGTAAATTCGACTTTAGCGTTGATTTATGTTGTTTGAGAAACTTCATCATTAATATGAACAGTTTTTAACACTTTTAAATACCGAGTCTGACAATGATGACCGACGTTATCGAATGATTGGCGTGTAATAGTTTTTGTTGACAGTTAAGGCTTAAGTACAATTTAAAGCATTTCTTCTTACAATATAATTTTGAAAACCATTATTTGTTTTTTTATACAAAAATTATGTACTAATATTACTGAAACTATCACTTTTAAGCTCGACTCGAGCGCTAAATACGTAAAACTAATAGTTTATCTTTTAGGGTATATGTTAACTAAATCATTCCGTATGTACAATTGATTTTACAAATATTATTTTAGTTTCAACATAAAAATCCTTCTTTTAATGATAATACGCACAAACTTAACTTCATTCCATAGGTTAATTCAAATATGATTTTTTAAAACAGTAGCAATTAATTAATTTTGAATCCTATGTTTTACATGCAAGGTTGAATATGCACCTTTGATGGAATTTTATAACAACTGTATACAAGATAAAAGTAAAGGTTTAGTTATTAATTTTTTTTAGACTATAGTAATAATATCATTCCCAGAGCAAGTCTAGCTCGAAATCATCACGAAATAATGTGACAAAGGAATCGAAAAAGACATTATTTTATATCGAGTGGAGGTTATGTTTCTATTGTTTAATTACTTGCTGTCATTTCATAATAATATTGTTATAATCTTGCCAAATGGTTTCTAACACTTTTCTTGTTTGTTTATATATTTACGATCAATTTCACAATTTGTTAATAACGACTAGGTAACATATGAGTTAATTTTTTATGAGAACTTGTAAAATTGTGAATCTGTTCGCATAGGAATCGATCAAAATAGTATCGAGAATTCTCTTGTAAGCGTTTCGTCCATGTTGGATCAATGTCACATCATAACATAACGCTTTTTATCCCCAAAGGGTTAGGCAGAGGTGCTTATAAAATGTAAGAAACACTCAATTTTCATTCATTAGTTATGTTATGATCAATTTCAAGTAAAGTAAATAAAACTGCTCATTGACTGCCTCGTTGGCCGAGTGGTCGCAAGTGCGACTGCCGGGCAAGGGGTCTTGGGTTCGATTCCCGGGTCGGGCAAAGTATTACTGGGTTTTTAAAAAAAATCTCAGTAGTAGCATGGAGCCTGGAATTGTGCCCGGTATATGGCAATAGGCTCATCCCCTATTACATGGGACGCATAACATAAATAGTGAAAAGTGGGTATTATATTGTACAGTGGAATAATGTACACCTCTGCCTACCCCTTCGGAGATAAAAGGCGTGATGTTATATTTAAATAAAACTTATTTAGCACAATACCATCATGCCCATCATAATACTTTTCTAGTGTATTTGTGTTCTATCATGAACGTAACGCTTACTTGAGTATGGAGGTCGAAATATTTTTTTAATAAAATTAAAATGTTGTATCTATGGCCTAACCAGCTTCCTTCTGTCTTCCGCTTATTTTCTACTCTTGTTGTCAATTTGTTCTGTTGGTTTTTTTAAGTATTTAGCTATTAAGGTACCTCAGTTTTATTTTTAAGCCGCTTTCTTAACGCTACTGTTAATACATATGCTTGGTTACTGTAAAAGCATATAAATATATCTGTTGGTACAATTTTTTAATTCACTTTACAAAGAAAAGTGCCAAATTGAGAGTGTAAATGCGAGAATTGTGCACAAAATTTTATATCATCTCAATTAAATTAGTTACATTTGTATACGTGTTTAGGAGATGAGGTGCTAAAATTAGAAGTGTTCTGTTCTTTGCAAAATTTCTTTTCTTTTTTTTTAAAAAAAAACGTTGCCCCACATTAGGATTTTCTCCTTTGTCGTGGGTGCGTTTACAAACATACAAGTTCACATACACAATGACCAGACCCGAAACAACAATTTGTGCATCACTCAAAGTGTTGTTCCGTGCGGGAATCGAACCCTCGAAACGTTGCACGGCAGCCGGTTGCCCAGCCACCACACCAACCGTGCAGTCATTTTTTTTGCAGACAAATGTTTTATTTTTTATTATTGTGGTCAATGATAAGAATTTTTGAGATTGCGCTAGAGGCGTTAGGTCGTATTAGTCCAATCAGCTTAGTTGTTATAAGTTGACTGACTAATGATTTCATATTAGCAAATATTGTATTGGTCAGGCTTTAAGGTCCACTAGCGCCTCCAGTGACGCAAGACTTTATATTTGCTTTGAACATACACTAAATAAAATGTCATAATAAAACTTTTTCTATGGGGTATAAGAGTTTTAAATGCCAATTCGCATGCTGCATAACAGTGTCAGTAACAGTGTAACGATTCAATGTTTGTAATTCAGTCAAAATAATGCTTTATAATTTTGTATGCCAGTTTGTCATGTTTCCTCCTAGCAATACCTAATACTCAGGCCGCTTTAGTAACTTATTATTGTACCATTAAGTAACAGTTAACTACTTAGCATAAACACTAATAATAAACATCGTCATATCACATTCAAGCGAATTTTCTATCTTTAACATAAAAATAACGAAATTTAAAGTATGTTTTTCTTTAACTTCAAAAACATTTCCATTGCTCCAGTATATGAAATTGTCAGTGCGCACACATCCTGTACAATATTATATGATTTTTTTAGTACATGTATTTTGTACATTTTGTTTTATTCTCTCTAAATATTGGAACGTTTTTGGAGGCTTTTAAAGTATACGAAGATTAATGTAAGAATATGTACTTAGATATAACGAGTTCCTTGTTTTAAATACAAACATTTGGGTAGGTATTTTGTACTAAATGACTTTGTATTGTCAATAACAATACATTGTTGTTAATTATTGTTATTATGTATAAATAATAAATATACATTCTGTAGTGTCTTGATGCTCTCTCAATGTAGAGGTAGAATTAAGATTAAACTTCATTAAATATTTGATCCATAGTTTTTAAGTCAGTTTTTGACTTTTATGTCCATTTATGCCAAGTGGGTCTTAGGACTTTCATAATTAATAATTGTATTTGTAAACTAACTTGCTGGGCTACTATCAATAGTGTCCAGACAACGAAATATGCAACGAAGTGTACTTCCTTAGGTGCAATAAAGTGAAGTAAAATGGCATTTGTGGTTTTATTTTAATTATTTATTTATTTTTATTTGGACTCCCAACAAAAGATACACTTACATGCAAAAAAAATCCACTATATGTTACAATAACCTTGTGATCCTTCAATTAAAGGGAATCACATAATGCCCATACAAATATTTAGCAATTGATTACATACCTAAATAACACCTATTTTTTGACAGCTATGGTATAAAGCCCATGTATTATGGCTATTAAGGAGGTCATCTCATTGTCAGTTTATTATACTGAGAACTTTTTACTATATAATAACACTGCTTGAACCGACGTAATGTGCCTAATGAAAAAAACTCGGGCCCTTTCTTAGACTATTTACAAGAGTCATTCACACCACGATCAGTTTTGTGGTGTATGACTGACGATACACCGATAATTGTTTTCTGACGTAACCTTTGTCTTGAGATTTTGTAGGTAATTAAAGCCTACTTGTGCCAAGGTCGTTTAAACTCTATCCCCGATAAGGAAATGTTGTGGTACGGGGGTATAGCATAAGGGCGGATGTGAAAATGCGTTATTTTTTAGCTAATGACTCTAGATTTTGAAATATTGCAATATTTCCAATGTGGCCTTTAAGAAGGTCAGTCTTATTTATTTATTGCACACGTATTTCATTTGCCATTACAGACAAGCTAAAGCGACAAAGTAATTTTACATAAAATAAACTTTTACATGACAAAAATAAAAAATAATTATACTTATTTCCTACTAATTACTATAAAGCACTCGTAGCCCATCTTATCTACCTAAATCTTACAAACTATGAAGTATGTAACCTTCGTGAACTCACTCAGCGTACAGGTGAATATATCTATATTATCCGCCATAGTGTTGAGAGTGCGCAGCGCGCGATCGAGGAAGCTATTGCGCGCGCGCGGCACCACCGACAGCTGCGGCCGCCGGCGCCGCGTCATGTTCTCACCCATTACAGAAAACCCTAATTCTGCCAATCTCCCCGTTTTCTATACTACCTTTTAGAAATATGGATAGGTACACGACTAGTGCCACTTCTCTCCTAGCTTCTAATCTATAGTACCTACCCTACCATACCCAGAATAAGGTAGGGTACAACAACGGGTAAGTATACTCCATACAACTTTAAATATAGGAATCGAATGAATTTGTTCTGAATTCTTTCAATCACATCCTTATATTTTATTTCACTTGGACTCCAAACGGCCGCTCGGTACCTATTCGAGATTACTCTTCACTAGAGCCTCGTAATAGTGCTCAATCTTATACTATGTTATTCTCGAAAACTATTGTTATTGATAGTTATGTTTCAGATTTTGTTCTTTCTTCTTTGCATTTTAAGTGGTCAAAAATCATTGACTGGGTGCCGCGGAAGGCCTAACTGGTTCCCGGGGCTCCGGCTCGAAGAGGGGGGGTACGGGGTGGTTTTTAGTCAGTAAGAGTCTGACACTCCCCCCCGCCTAACCTAGCAAAGTGGGAGCCCCCCCCCCACAAATGGGCGCTGTTGCTGTTGCCCATGGGTAGGTGGATCTTTCTGTTCATGGAAGTAAAAAATAAAAATCAAAATAACATGTAACACTAATTATATTTCATAACTTACATACATATTATAAAATCTACAAATTAACTCTGGCTTGCTTCTGCACTGGTCTTGGCTGCCTGATCCCAAGCACCAACCTCTGTGAGTAGATCCTTCTTGGATTCAAAATACTCTTTGTACCACATGATATGGTCTCTCTTCTCCTGTACTGTGTAGAATGCGTTTTTGGACAAACCAATACACACAAGTTCCATGAAATGTCTAATTGGACCCTTCTTGGGGCACCAGCCTTCGAGGTGGGAGTCTAGGAAGATATGCTCCGAAAAGTGAACATTCTGCTCTTCTTCTAAACCTGGAATAGAAATAATAAATTTATTAGCTGGTAAATAAATTGAGTTGTAACAGATAGTTATTATTAAGGACCACTTAATACAAATAAATTAACAACATCTCCTTGTGCAAGATCCAAAAACATAAAGCGATTGGGTATGACCATTGAATTTGCAACTAAAAGACCATTGTAAGAATATTATTATAAAATTACCTTGTTCATTATCAATAGGGAATTTCCAGATCTTGCCCTGCTCTGTCCAGAGAATCATTTTCTGGAAGTAGTTGGCGGGCTGCTGTAAGGTGGCAAGGGTCAGTTCTCTTTGCTTCAGCTTCTCCCAGACGTCTAGTGTTGTACCATAGTTGGCTTCTTTAGCTTTGAAGATACCTAATGGCTGCCCACTGAATATGTTCACTACTGTCGGCTGCGATACTGCTGGTCTGTAATTAAATTACATAATTAAAATTGTATTGTAATGATGATTTATTTTTGGAAATGTGTACTGTAAATAAAAGAAAAATTGTTTTATTTTATAAGTGCCTTCTTGGTCAAAATAAAAATCAGAGAATCAATTATGTGGCAATATGATTTTTTCCTTTTAGAAATTTAGAGTCTTCTAATAAGTAGTACTTCCATGGTCAAACCAAAGCTATTCCTGTTGCATGTAGTCTAACATCTAGAATGTAAAAGTATAAATGAAAACTTACGTTCTTCGTCCTCTTGGTTCACCATCAGCAGGCTTGGCCTTCCTCTGAGAGTACCTCGTCTCCTGTGTTACTTTAGCTTTGGACACAAGACGCTTGACTTGCTGACCTCTTGTCTCCTGTGGTTTCTGATCCTCTCCCTCTTTTGAACGGTCCACCTTCATGCCAACGAGGAGGTCACTGAAATAATAATTTTGTGCATTTTAATAATTATACTAAGCTTAATCTTTGCCAGGTGTGTACTTCTTAGTATTGTATTAATATATATTATATATATAATATTATAATAATATTCCATGCAATAGCATAGAAAGGTAAATATTATTATATAAACATCCAAATGTTACAAGTAGCGCCATCTAGTTTTTCCTTGGCAAGTTAACCGCGCAGGATACGCATCATCGCATGTCGCCAAAAATGTGTTTTTAAAATTCATATAAAAAGTGTCCATCATTTATTTGAATGAAAACCAACCACTTACAGCAAGCATTTAAACAGAAAATATTAATATGAATTTTACTTATATTTTTGGGAATTTTATCGAAATTCACTTTTAGGGCTTGTCTGTAAGCTACCTATAGAGCCTGTTGTACTATTACTTCTATCTATGTATAATAAGTCACTCAATTTAATAGACCATGGCTGGCTCTAAATTCAATCCTTATTTTTACTTAACATTGAAACAAAATAATACATACCTAAGAGTAGTGGATGACTGGTTGATCTTGCCCAGCACCCTGGACAGCAGCTCAGCCTCCGTCTGCTTCACATTCCCACCAATAGCCTGCGCCACTTCTCCAGCAGCTTTTGTGATGCTTTCCTCTGAAAATATAAACAGGGTCTTTTTACCAACTTCAAAAAAAGGAGGAGGTACTATGTTCGGCTGATTGTTTTTTTTTTATGTTGATGTCCTCCCATAAGAGTTATGTATAGAGCTCCTTTCGCCTGCAATACAGAATTATCCTAGTGCAGGCATCTAACTTTATGAGATCAATTTTACTTACTAAAGAAATTTTTTTTTTGTATTTTGCATTTGTTAATTACTTATGAATAAATTTTATTTTTATTATTATTTATTATATTTTTAAGTAAACCTTTTTTAGTTTCTTACGCATCTCAAGAATAAGTTTTCATTTTTATTGTATCTAACAGATGCCATCATATCACTTACCTTATAATTAATTATACAGATGCCTTTTACATAACTTAAGAGTTAAGAATAAAGAATATATAAAGATCAATCAAAGATGTACACTTATAGCATTTCGAATACCTACAAGAACTACTATTATTTGTATATTATACTACTCATACATGCTGTGGATAACCAAACGGGTTACCGGGGCTCTGGCTTGAAGTGAAGGAGAAAGAACAGGGTGGTTTTTAGTCAGTAAGAGTCTCCCTCCCGCCTCACCCAGGTGGAGAAGACATTCGATGAATTTCAGCCATTAAAAAAATACTACTCATACATATTTGACAGTAATTATCAAAACATTACCTATTTTCTCTGTTTTGACTTCAATTTCATCGCCCTTCTTACGTCTCTGTATAACTGGTGCAGTAGCAAACTTATCCTTGTATTCACTTTCCTTAATTTTCGGTTCAGCTAACATCAATTTCAAGAGTTCCTGGATCTTTTCAGTGGCGTTTTCTGAAGACTTCTGTGTTACTACAGGTTTTTCTTTAGATTCTGGCATTTTTCCATCGCCATCTGATGGCTTGTCGGATAAACATCTGACTATAACCCGAAAATCTCGTCTAAACCGAAGCCTGAAATACATTGGTTATTTAATGAACGTACATGTGATAAATAGTGCAACAAAGTAATAAAAATAGAACTGTTTTAATTACGGTACCTTGTTAGCATTTTTTATTTATTATACGAATATTTTTATAAATAAAAACAAAGACGACCACAATTTTTGAGGTTATAAAATAGCGGTGTTCCAATTCACGTTAAATGACAGACAAACGCATGTCAAATGGATTTTAGAAACAAGGCCTTTAGCCAAACGCCACTTTAGCGCTCGTCTACAGAGAGAGTAGAAATCAAAATGTATGGAGATGACACTGACAAGTGTCAAAATTTACGTCAATTCCATATAATTTGGTTTTCTATTCTACATGTAGAGAAGCGCTAAATGGCATTTGGCTACAGCTGCAAATTACATAATACTCGTGCGTAACGAAACGTAATGGATACGTTCCGTTACGCGTTAGTATTTTTGTATGGATTCGTAATATTCATTAGGTTTTTTAATCGCCGAAGAAGTATGCAGAGGGAAGTAATAATTTGATAAAACATTACTTTAATTAGAATCACCAGTTACTTATAATTCTTATAAGCCATACGCACATAATTCTTAGATACAGCATACCTATGGTACTGGTTTAGACAATCCGAAATACAAAGACACTGTTCAAAACGCCTTGCTCGGTAGTCACGTTTGCGACTACAGTACCAAACTCTTTGTGTAATTTGGAAGCAGTGTTGCAAAATTATCCGCAGGGGCGGCGAGAAACTGGAGAAGCTGATTGTTGTTGGAAACTCCGAAGGCAAGAGATCGCGTGGGCGTTCTCCGACAAGATGAACCGGTCGAGTAAAAGACTTGTCCTCAAAATTTTGCACGACTGAGGGAGATGTGCTAGACAGAAACCGCTATAAGCAGATCATCCGCTCCAGATGCAATCCCGATGCTGACCACGATCCTCAGACATGAGGGAACGACTAAAGAGAGAGAGTTCCAAAGTTATACCCACCTTTCGTGAGATGAGGAACCCTGTAATATGAATTACTGCATATTCGTCTAGGTACTTAATTATTCAAAAAGGATTTCTTCTTTATAGGAAGGGTGACCGTGGAATGTAAGAATAACAAGAGAACAGATGTCATTTGTAAGGCACATTTATTTGTGGACGGGAGTCATCTCCAAAAATATTATTATACAAAGAAATACATGAACAACGTATTCCAAATAAATTTAAGTAGACAATGAACTTAACTATACATTCTGAATTTTACGAAATCATACAAATTACATTTTATTGCTAAAGATATCACATTTTTCTATATAATTGACTTAAATATAACTAAGTAACTAGTCAATGTAACTTGAGTTTTGTTTTTTATCAATTAATTAAACACATATATAATGCAAAAATAAAACACAGCTTTACTTCTTACATTACTTTCGTATTTCGACTCGATTACAAATCGATAATTTTATCGAGTCAATACGATTCATCGACTGGAGATTTTTAAACTGAGTAAACCTGACTCTATTTAAGCTGTCTTCAACTTAAACAGAAAATATAAGAAATTTTAAATTATTTCCTATATTTTCGACCTCATATTACATTTGAATAACAAAATTGCTTGAAATAAAATTAACAAAACTACTTACGTTACTATGGAAGCTCTGATAATGGCGTCTATATTTCTTTTATTATTATTTGAGAAGCAATCATAATCGCTTGAACTCTTATTTAAAAATGTAACTTAACATAAATGCGACAAGGTTTCTATTTCGAAAACTATGTTGGAAATATGATTGGTTACATCTGTACAAAGATTGAGTCTACATAACTGAACACTGTTTCTAGTTATAGTACTTACATTATTACATTTTCAAACTATGTATTGTATACATCCAGTATTACTTTTGTATTTATTACTAGGCATTTCCTATTTGTAAACACACTGTTGCTATATTTTCTAAAGATGAATATCGAATTTACTGGCAAACATGGTTTTCAATTTTTACTTTTTTAATGCCCGAATACTGAAACGTTATTCAATTTTAACTCGCGCTTAAGTATAGTTCTGTCACTACAAATTCTTTGTAAAATGACAGAGACGGCACGATATTTAAGTAACTACAACTTAAAATTTGAGTAGCCTTTCAGTATACGGGCGTGAGAGTGTGGAATGAGGTCTTATATGACAAATAGTTTATTGTCTGACAGAAAGGGACAAGATAAATGCCATTGAATTTTAAATGTTACTTATGAGTAACTTTGTATTACGGCAAAAGTACTTATCTAGTTTATGAATGTAATATTTTTGCTCTGAGACAAGGCATTCTATCAAGTATATTACTGTCTTAACATTATAATACCAAAATAATGGTAACTTAAACTATATCTAGTAAGTAGAAAATAGTACAGTGTCAATATTGCTATTATATACTTAACAAATTGTTTACTTATATAAGACACAAGTCAATGCAATTGATGCTTTTGAGCAACTAAGTAAAATAAGAATATTTCCAACTTATAACAATAATATGTACAACAATGACTGTCAAATTAATCGTTAATAAACACTAACTGAGAAATAAACATTTGTTAATTTTTTTTAACACGACAATTTGGTACGTAACGTGGGATCATACTAACCAATTAGGAGATCAAATGAACTGGTAAATTGGCGACATAATTAAGGAGTTGGCGCATACATTTTTACATTTATTTCTCTATACTAATTACTACAGAGGTGAGACATATTACCAAAATACTTTTTCAAATAATTTCGTTAATGCAACCTTACCACGCGTCCCGAAGATAATACAAGAAATTGGAATCGTAAATCAATATTATGAACAAGTACAATACACAAAGAATGTGATGTGTCCGTAATTCATTTATTTACATTATGGCACGCGTTATCACCTTAATATTAGCTTAAGTCCAATGTTACCGTGAGCTTCACTCATATTACAAAGTCTAATGTTACGTTCTAATACATAGTTAGCACCAATCTTCTCACTGGCAGTGATACATCATCACACCCCGCTATACGTGAACATTACACAAACAGTTACTGACGAGAATATTGTTTTACAGTGTAATATATTAAAATATTAGAGCTGCTGTTAACTAATATACTATGTAAGGTAATTGTCTTGTTTTTTATTCCACATGTAGTCATCAAAAACCTGAGTTTTTATCAGTGGTTCTACTTGACTTTAACATAACATAACATCACGCCTTTTATCCGCGAAGGGGTATACAGAGGTGCACATTACGCCACAGTACAATGTAACATCCACTTTTCACTATTTATGTTATGAGTCCCATGTAATAAGGGTTGAGCCTATTGCCATATACCGGGCACAATTCCAGATTCCGTGCTATACTGAGAATTTTTTTAAAACCCAGTAATACCGGGACCCGGGAATAGAACCCGAGACCCCTTGCCCGGCACTTGCGACCACTCGGCCAACGAGGCAGTCTTTGATCAAGATGCAAATCAACTTGTTATTAGTACTAATTTATGTAAATACATACAAGATTTATGATGAGTCTGGAGTGCGCCTGTTGCTAGACACGTGGTTATAATTCTAGATTCCGTGTTGCTATTAAGAATTTCATACATAGTTGGTAATTAGACTGAGCTGAGGTTCGCCAATCACTTTTATGACTATAAAGGCGGCGTTTAACTGGTAAATCAGGCCCAAAAACCCCTTTCTTTCATCTAAACATTATACATAATATTACATCATGAACCACTGAACTAGATTCGGGGATTTTCTTCTATATACATGTTAATTCCCGTACATAATATGACTGTTAGAATACTGACCTTAATACACTCACCGTTACCACAGTTTTTTCTGTTTGCGTAATGTCACTTGACTCATAGAGTTGGGGGCTTCATTCGACATACATTCTTATTCTTTACCTTACTAATTCACAGCCTATTAGGAACTAAGTTTTACGAACCCGAAGTAGCTGTACCCTGGTCGGAGCCATACAGTTCTGTTCGGTTCTCTTTGAGCAATGTTCACAGTGTCTCCTTTGTAAAGCCTTGCGACTGTTTGCACGGAACAAGACATTTGAGATTTGCTGAGCGGGCGGTTGCTCGAGTCGTCTCCTGTTGCACAAGTTGAGAGGAGACGGGGATCCTTCCCCGTTTGACGCGCCCATATGTAGTAGCAGTTCGGTGATTGTGTTAGGTACACCACCTGCAAAGAGTAAATAAGAGGTTTAATAATTATGTACGAGGATTTCAGTTACTTTTCTACTTTCTTTAAATACAACCATTAGAAAGTACGTCTAAGGAAAGTATTTTTTCTGGAGCAAATTTAACTAGGTGGTTATTGATTCGTAATTAAAATATTCCCTGCGGTAACCACATAGAACTAATCACCGATTATGACGTACAACCACAGGGTTTTACGTCCATCTTTACTTGTAGCATGTTACATTCAATAACTATCATAACTTTGCGGTCGCAGGAACCTATTTTCTTCACGGTCAATGTTTCCTAAGTTGCCTTACCAGTTTGTATATGTATAATACATTTTAATAATAAGTAATTTTTTACAATAGTTGATTTTCTATGTACCCAAGGGCCATTTTTTTCCAACGCCAGTAAAAGACATTGCTCTGCGTCCATACATTGTTGGCCCTGGAGCCAAGAGTATTGGATAATTATGTATTGTATTCCCTATCATTTTTAGACTCCTAAAAGATCTTGTTTTTATAGCGGAGTAGCTGCTGAAAAGATATATTTGATTTTGAAGTTTATAACCATAACAATGAATATTTGAACGAATGTTAAATCTTTGAATGATAGTATAGAAGTAAAAAAGTTTTGATTACTGTATAATTATTGTTACTACCTATTACGACGATTATTATTTATTACATTACGCGAAGGCATTTGACATTAGTCGAAGATGGCAATCTAATGTTATTAATCGCGTTAAATTCTATTAAAAGAATATTTTGGACTATAGGTAGTCCGTGATACAGAAGTATTTGCAACTTTTCCAAACTAAAAACTGTCAACTGTAAATTTTATTCTACAGGTAAGAATTAACTGATGATTGAAAAATCGGCTCTAGTTTACAAACTGAGGTAAAGTACACTATCTGTTAGTCATGTTGTTTAATTGTTACTGGTCAAGTTAAGTCAAGAATTACCTTAATTGGGACTAAGAAAGAAAATTTTCGGAAAGTCTAAGTTAAAAATAACTAAATAAGATAGCTGAGATAGATAGGTAGGTGTTTTTAAAATCTATGTTTAGATTGTAAATACTCGCAATATTGTAATTGTATGTATACGTAGGGATGTATTAAAACCGTACACATACGTAATGAACGTATTATTTTGTTATATTTTGCTATGTATCACAATGGAAGTGAGTCATTCATAAATATCAGAGTCAGTTAAATAATTTTACAGTGATTTTGCATAACATGTATCATATATTTAATGTATCCTTTAATTTATTAACATAATATGATCACATTGGCCTGCCTCATTGGCCGAGTGGTCGCAAGTGCGACTGCTGGGCAAGGGGTCTCGGGTTCGATTCCCGGGTCGGGCAAAGTATCACTGGGTTTTTCTCAGTGGTAGCACGGAGTCTGGAACTGTGCCCGGTATATGGCAATAGGCTCACCCCCTATTACATGGGACTCATAACATAAATAGTGAAAAGTGGGTGTTACATTACAGTGGCATTAAGTGCCGTAATGTGCACCTCTGCCTACCCTTTCGGGGATAAAAGGCGTGATGTTATGTAATATGATCACAATTGTTATTCGCCAAGCCAGAACCAATGACACAGAATACTAACAGTGATTTAATTTGTATGAAATTTTCTTTTAACACCGCATTTGTGGGTACAGATTAAATTATGATATTGACTACTTTTCTCAGACATGGTTTAATTAGAAATTATGAAGTAGCCTCCTATTACCATTTCAAAATATTATGGCATCGTAGATACAAATGCATATAACTAAAAAAATATATTTAGTTTAACAGAATATTAGTATTTTATTTGACGTATACTGACCATGCTGTGGACGATAACTTATATATAAATTTATTGTATATAACGTTAACTCTCATGGACGAACCGTATCTAAAATTGTGAGTACGATATCAGAGACAGATTCGTCCCATCACTGGTACCCAAGCAAGCGAGGCTTTTTATAAAATTAAATATTTCTGATTAAACATTCTCCTAAGCCCCAATGATTATTTTTCCCTCTTAAACTGTCAAACACCAAGCGGTCACCGGTGACCGCAACCTATTGTTCTATAATTGTGTCTACAAAACCGGTACTCGACGAGTTAAATGATTTTTATTACTTACATTATTTTCTTATGCGGTATGCCCATACAAGAGTGAGCATTATTGACTATAACTAAGATCTGAAGATAGAAACTACGACCTCATGTTGAATACACAATAATAAGTATACCATAAGTACCATAATACTTAACTACCACTAATTATGTAAGGAATTTGTTCACATGTGGATACTGCGAGAATTTAAGGAGATACTTTATCTTCTCCCTGCAACCCTTATCCTTAATTAGGTGGGACTACTATTTTCCTATACATTGAGCAGTTAGCAGTCACACTCCAGACGGCGCGCTACTACAAAATTATCGAAAATGAAACAAAATGTCCTAGTAATGTCCAATATGACCCGATCTGTTTTTTTTAAAATTGATGGACCGACGTTAGTCCACTATCTCGCCTGGTGATAAGCGATGATGCGGTCTACGCTGGAGCACGTCGTCCCATAAGCAACCTCATCACTCCAGAGTGATGAAACCCGGGTATCTTGAAGGCCAGCCTTCAAGAGACCCGGGTTTCATCAAAACCCCTTGTTCGGAAGCCGCTTTTAATACGAGTAATTGGGGCCACTCGAGCAAGGAGGCAAACCACTAGTCCCGTAGGCTATCCACAAGACCACCTTTATAACTTTATACTATTAAGATTTAAATGTATAAAGCCGATGATTGTTTGTTTGAACGCGCAAATCTCAGGAAATGCTGGTCCGAGTTCAAAAATTATTTTTGTGTTGGATAGTTAATTTATCGAAGAAGGCTATAAGGTTATAAAACACCACGCTAGGGTCAATAGGTGCTAAACAGAGTGGGTGAAACCGCGCGACCGTAGCTAGTTTTATGTTAAAACGATTAAAAGCTACAGAATGCACCTGCATACAAAAGATGCAAATATTTCCTTATTACTAAGTTAACAGTAACGTCGGTTACATACCTGAGCATAAATTAAATACAGGCCGCCTTCTTTGATGACGACGAAATTGTTCGTCAGCTCGAACTTGTCTGCGCTATTCTTCGAAGACACCTCCTCATCTCGAATCCAGGGACCTATGATTGCTGTGGAAGAAGAAATTGGGAATAAATAAACTTATAATACACCATACTCAACAGTCGTTTTGTGACAAGATACTGGATCATATATTTATTTCGGCAGTTTTCTATATATATAAAAATGAATCCCTTTTTCCCTTGGTCACGGCATCATGCGTGAATGGCTGGACCGATTTCACTAATTATTTGTTTTTTGTATTTGTTATTATTAGGAGACGGTTTTTATGACTTCAAAATCCTACGGGAACAGATGAAAAAGGGAATGCGCGTACGTAGTCGCGGGCAGAAGCTAGTATGTCATAAATCTCATGTAGGAGGGGGCTTTATTTTATTTGGGACAGTTTTAGATTCTGTTTACTTTGATACACTGTGGTCGGTAGATGGAAGTATCATCCTGACTGACTGGATCCAAATATCGTCAGTTTTAAGGTGATTTATCCATTCAATATAGAGGAAAGAATAAGTGATAGAAGATTAACCATGAAAATAAGTTTTAACGTAAATACCGAATGACTTTACGTGTTATTCTAATTATTGATGATGGTTAAAAAATGCCCGCCTCATGGCCGAGTAGTCGGAAGTATCGATTCCCGGGTCGGGCAAAGTATTATTGGGTTTTTAAAAAATCTCAGTAGTAGCACGGAGTCTGGAAATGTGCCCAGTATATGGCAATAGGCTCACCCTCTATCACATGGAACTCATAACATAAATAGTGAAAAGTGGGTATTACATTGTACAGTGGCATAATGTGCACCTCTGCCTACCCCTTCGGGGATAAAAAGGCGTGATGTTATGTTATGTGTTATAATTAATAAATTATGTTACTGTCGCAAAAAAAGGCAAAAATGGTTATCACTTTCATTTTCGAATCAATATTAATATTCGTAAGTCAATAGTCCCCAAATTTTTATCACTTTATAAGTTAATATTTAAAAATATATCGCAGTTTCGATAGTAACGATAATAAACAATGACACAGTATACCCTACTGACATCGTTCTTGATCTTTAATGTGGCGCACACGCATTTGATAAGCAGCTGATATTCGGCCATAATCTTATGTTTAACAACAGTACTTGTGCGAAATTATAATGAAATGCTAAATCAAAAATAATCAGGTTAATACGATGTCTTGTTTCCGTGATAGATATGTGTATTTGTGAAATAGGTTTGTAAATGATTTAGTAATTAATTTGGTATTAATGGTAATCGATAAGTAACAAATAAAGTTCGTGATTTAGAACGTAATTCAGATTTAAATGTTTACACGAAAATATTATCTTTTTATATCGAAAATCTAAGCAATTGTAGGTAAGTACTTAGACTAAGGTCGATGTGAAATGCAAGGACGAAATGTATGTAAACAAATCACAAAGGCCGAACTGAATAGCAGTTTTCTGTGCTCCTTACATTTTGGTCATCACTCAGATCTGTCTGAAATAGAGTGAGAAGGGTGATAGTATAAGCAAGCAGCGACTGTCGCGGAGAACCTAACGGGTAACCGGGGCTCCGGCTCGACGTGCAGGAGAAGGAACGAGGTGGTTTTTAGTCAGTAAGAGTCTGACACTCCCTCCCGCGTCACCCAGACGGGAGCAGTCATTCGATGATTTTCCCCCCTTAAAAAAAAAGCAAGCAGCGACTAGATGCAGCTCTATCCTTAAGGTTTATTGGCAAATATGACACAGATTAATTAAGGTCTGAACATGACAGTCTAACTAACAGTGGCCCTTTTTATTGATGGCGGGGAGCAACCTTTATAAGGCGGCTAGATTTTTAAGGGGTGTGGTATTTGTACCTCACTTAAACAATCCCGGTGGCTACACTCAACATTTGTAAGGGGGACCGGATACTACGTCTATACGACTTCGTTGCGGGAACCAAGACAGTTATTCATGTCCCTGAGACGCGCTGGACTTCAGTGTTCCGGTGTTTTCATGGTTGTATGTACTGTAGACCCTGGCTTACAGGAGTTGCAGCGGTTTTGGGAGGCTGTGGCGGGCTTGTCCCAAAAAAAATGGGGCACCGGGTACTCTAATACTTAGAACTGCTCCGAAGCCCCTGCGGTACAACACTTGTTACACCACCTCCCTAGTGTAGTATACGGCCTTAAGGTGCAGGGAAAATGTGTTTCTTTTTGATCTACTGTAACTATCATTCGTTTGCAACTACTTATATTTATATTCTCTCATAGCAATCATTCCATTTTTCTTTTAAAAATAAAGTTAAATGGTAAAAGTAGAAGGTCAAAAGTCAATGAATATTTTACTAATTCAGTCTTTTTCGTTTGTTAGACATGAAGTAAGGAGAAATTAAAGACGAGCTTTACCCAATGTTTAAACATTTGAACACTGAATATTAAACTACCTTATTTTTTATGAAAACGTATCTGGCACGTTTACTAAAGGAATTTTTTCTTCATGGCAATAATATTTTTTTTATTACAGCTGGATTTTTATTTAAACGGCCAGTCGTAAAACCCAAAAATGTATTAAAATGTTCTGAAAATATTATCCTTAATAATTAATGTCATTATATTCCGTTCGAAAATACATTTTATTTAAAGTGAATTAAATAAAGCACAACTGCGTATGAGTGGTTACTGCAGTGCAGATAAATATAATTATTGAGAATAAAATTATTATGATTGAAATTAACTGAAGTAGGTAAGGTAATGTCGCGTCAAAAACATAGGAAAATTATTCATTAGTAATCAATACTTAAGTAAAAGTAATATTTAATGAAATTATAGTAGGTAGGCAAACACGTAGACATTAGGTACCTATTGTGGTGGCATGTGAATTAAATTCAAATGGACTTAAAAACAAAATGTTTCTCTACTTAGGTACCTAAGAATTGCCTACCTCTTTCATTAAACATTTCGTTTCCATAAACGGATTAAACCTACACCCGTATTAAAAGAAATTGGTTTACATTATACCTCTTTTGGGAAGAACCAGCTTTAAACATGTTCATTTTGTTTATAAAGCCTTTTACGATTCAAGTGCAACGATTCGCTTTTGCAGTTTAAGCAGTAAGGAACCAACTTAAGTTTTACATTAAGATTTAATCCACGAAGAAGAACAAATAATTTGAAGTAATTTTGGTCTGTAAAACCAGGGGAATGATATTTTTAAATTTATTATTAGAAACAAATAATAGATGTAATATAATTAAGTCTATTTATAGCCGAATGACATATTATGTACATTTTTATAGGTGTTTGAATGCGAGTACAATGCCTTTTTTGCGTTCCCTAGATGGCGCTTGCGTGGTTTAAGGCGTCTTATGTCAAATGAAATTAATGCATATTTTATTAAATAGTAATGAGTGCCTACCTATATTGTGTTGTAATATTAAATATTGTTAGACTTATATCAGTTGGCAACCTCTTAACAAGTTTACAGTCGATAACACATTTCCAATTATTTTATTATCTTGAAATAGAAAGTTGTGTGCACCATTGATATGATAAACTGTTTATAATTACTATAGCACAAAATATTTTAATTTAATTCCTGAAGTAGACAAAGGCACAATGAATGTAATATTTATCGTTTATTTTTCTAGTTCCACGGTATGAGCCTCATAGTCTCTTGTACAAAATAGGGTACCAGGTATAGGCATTCATATACATAATATAGAAAATTGGAAAGCTCAATATTTTTTTGGTCGACATTCAGCCAATACCTAAACAAAGCAGTACCTATATATGTAGACTATTTTTATAATATTTTTACTACTTATTTACCAGTAGAAGAACACGTGGGAACTTTTGAAACTATGAACTTGATAAACGAATGTTTGTTTATATTATGGCAATAGACGACTTCCTAAAGGGAAGTCCCCGTTATCTAAACTGGAGTAAGTATATGTTATTATTGTAGCTTTATGTAACAGATCATCACGCCTGTACATCCCCGTATAGTCATAATTAGTGTAATGTTAAATAAAATAACACTTTTTGATTGATTATCTTATTGGTAAGTAGGTGATAGCGACAGAACATAACTACAAAAGTGGATACTATCTGTATGAATAATTCCGTCTATGTACGATAGTATTTTATTTTAATTATTGTCAACAAAGACGTGCTAGACGATTATAGGCTTTGAAAATGTATAAACTAGCCATTTTTTCTCTGACTTCCAATAGCTCAGATGATATGGATACAAGAGCTCAGGATGTACAGAACAAGAGCTGTTGAGCTTATAACATCAAGAGTTATTCATAGCATACTTAATTTTTAAATCAACAGTCCATACAAAATTTCGAATCTAAAACGGTCTTTATTTTATTACATATAAGGATTGTTTTCGTTGTATTAAAATGCGGTAGAGTGTAATAACAATAATTTTCGTTACACTAGCCCAGTTACAGTTTCAGTGTCGTCAATTTGTTTCAAGGAAAATTTATTTGATAGAATTGAATGACTTGAATCAATAGTCTAATATTGTCCTTGCTTTTAAATTAATGCTTGTTTTGTACCATCAAGTAAGTCTAGACTCATCAAAGACTGTCTCTACGAGCTGTCGAGGAGTCGATTATCGAGCAAGGAGTTTCTGGTTCGACTTCTTTCCTTGATGGGGCGAACCATTTCCTTACAGGCCTACAATGCCATGTAATTGGTTCCTATTATTAATTGTAACATTTTATCTTTATTAATTGTGATATCTAACTTTGCATGCCGAAAACAGTAGGCGATGTATGTAGGACTATTTTTTATAATCATTATCACCTGTAGTTCACACTTCATGCAAATAAACATTCTTATTTCTTATTTATTACCAACCAAGAAGACCTGTACTAGCGCCTATGGCAATGGTGATGCATTTAAAAAAAGAATCATACACTCATTACACATTTTCAGAATAAAAGGCGATCAAATGGAGGTACATTTTCATGAACATTAAATTAAATTAGGTAAATAAATAAATAAATTATATAAGCGACTGTTTCCATCATACAAGCTTTAAGACCGAAACAACGGTGATTTAATTTTGTTGATCCTTTATGTTTAGCTTGCCTAGGTAGGTACCTAATAGCGCGGCGTATCCCGATCTCGGTTAAAAAACACGATGCTTATGTCAGGGTCACGCAGTCGCGATTTTTTTCTATTGGCGTCGCACAGACCAGTCTATAAATTGCCATGAACGCTACATGTGTGCCTTAAAACAGACTAACAATATTTCTATTCCAAAGATGTGATAATAATTTCAAAATGTCAACAAACTATTCGTTTGGCCAAAGTCGTTATGACGCCATTTCAAATCTAAGCCGGTCTTTAAATAACTATTAATTAAGCCAGCTATTACTTGGTAGCAACTAAATTAATGAATGTAGATGATACAAAAGGAATTATGTAACTTTGTCTGGAAGCTTAATTATTATGAGCAGATTAATTGCGAACTTACAGCCAGCCAAGTTTCTTTACACTACACAAAGTAACTATGTCAATTATACTAACTTTTTCACATAGGATTATAAACTTTATTACAAGTACTGATGGATAAAAATAGGGTGTATGTCATGTGTACACAATGCAAATATCTAGGCGTATCCTGTCTGTGACACATACGCATTCATTATCATTTTAATCACATATTTACAATTGTTTTAGTTCTGTAAAATCATATTTTTCTTTTGTTTACTTGATTTTTTAAAGCTCAACCGCCAATAATATTTTTGATTTTAGAATGCAAAAAAGAAATGTAAATCTTTAGCACACTACTGTTTAATATTTGGCTGGTTTAAAAAGAATTTGTAAGTAATGAATAAAGTTAACAAAGAGGTTGAATCAATGAAGAGTTCCTTATTGCTATTAACATAGATCGTCCATCTATACTCTATGCACTTCACAGTTATGTGGCCGTTGCCTAGCCAACATGTATCATACATAAAAGTAGACTATTAAACAAATAGCAAGCTTACCATGTTACATTAAGTGCTAATTCTCTTTATATTTACTCGGTAAACAAGGATTTATCAGTTCAAGAGGTATTATTATGTAATGAAATAGTTACTTATACTATTATGTTATCTTAGTCATAGTAATATTGCAGCTGTTTATTTGTTACTACTTTTTATACATAGCAATATAAAAAATGGAATGCTTTATCTTCCTTTGTAAACGATTACAACAGAGTTATCATATTGATCTACATTGAGTGTTTAGTATTTGTTTAGAAAAAAATAATAAAATATTAATACTCACATTGGGTTCCCAAATTAACTTCTTTCTGGCCACCGTTATATTGAACCACAACCAACTCTGTAATTAATAAAATTAAATGTTATGTTATGAGTGACACACAGAATATTAAATTTTATAAAATAAAATAATATAGTTATTAAAGTAGGTATTATTTATAATTTCATGTAAACAATTTTATAGCTACAATATGAATATTGGTACTTGCGGATATTAACCTTTTTGTAGGATGGTCAGGTCATAAACTGGAACATTGCCTTTGCTTGAATTTTTTTTCTTGGAGTCTACCAATAACATATCTTCCCCCAGATCTTCGACATAGTACTTTTTAGCACTCTGTGGAGTGTCATCGTCATCAAAGGGCCTTGCTCTCGGCTCCCGCGCGTCGCCCTCAGCCGGCGGCCTTGGGCGGGCCACCAGTGCACTCTGTACCCCTCTGTCCTGGTTCAAGTTGTGTAAGATAAAGTGGTCGTTTATCATGTCCAGCTGTCTCCTCATCGATATCATTTCGTTCCAGTAGTAGAACGCTATCGAACAACTTAATACCATGCAAATAACGCTTAACAAAAAATTCAACACGAACAAAAGCTTTATTTTCTTGGAAGACGCTATTGAGAACGTCGTATTTATATGCACGCCGAGGTCTGACGGTTTCTCTGCAATCAATAAAATACCACGTTATTAACATATTCGTGCCTTAAATTAATATTTCATGTTATAAACATTTAAGTCACCTGTGTTGAGATGTATGACTGTCCCTTCGGGTGAATTTACTTTTGTATTTTTGCCAGTATTCAGAAAAATGTTAGCCGCACCTGGTGAGTTCAAGGGGACACCTTCGCTCATATGAATTTTCCTTTCGCCATCCATTATGAATACTACGATTACTTGTTTATAGTACGAGGTAGTACTACTATTCGGGCGTAAGCGTACGCGTCGTCGGAGATACCTAAACAAAGGATGTAAAGCTCAAATAAGTTCGCACTGACCGCACATGATAACCGCAAGTTGATAAAAAACACAACACACTTTACATACCATGTATGTATCCGTTGGCACTGTATTTGTTGCTTATTTTATTATTATAATTCCTTACTAGAGAAATACACTTGCACTAAAATCTTTCATTATAAAATAAAACCAGTTCTTTGACTTCCATACAAAAAACAAAAAGTAAACACAAAACACAACAAATAAAACTTTTCGCTCCTTCCTTTGCTTCGTTTCGTTTTTCGACACAACTTCTTATGGCAAAGGCGCGCACGTCGCTGGCTGCCTGACCGGTACCGGTTGCGCGCCAAATTCGAACTGAGCGTGCGAACTGCGAACAGCGATGCGATGCTAGCGAGTGAATGCGGAATGACCGCGATTAGCAGGCTGGGATATATTCACCGATGGACGGTGGACGATGGATAACTTTTACAAATGGTACAGGCGTGCATGTTTATATTGGTTTTGTTCGTGAAACAAAGTGAATTTGAACCAATTCAGCAAATACATCGATGCTAACAAATTAAGTACCTATTCTAATGACAAAGATTCTATGAACTTTATAAGTTGACCTACATTAGTCTCCAAATATAATATACGAATAAACTTAATAATTAATTATTGTATTATTTTAATATTTCTGTGTATTTTAACAACAAACAATGAATATTAATACGTAATTAAGTAAATTAAAACAAATACATCTCATAACTTTAATTTGCGGGATATCCCCAAATTACCGACACATTTAAAATTTTTAGATTTGGGGGATTTTAGATAAAATAAATATTTTTTGCCAACGTGGGTATTGTGTTTTGTTTAATCAATACAGCACATTGTATTTAAGTATAGTTTAGTTATAATTGTTTTCCACGTGGTAATATTAATGTTTGTTAAATGCAGACTCAATTTTAGCTATTTTACAAAGGTAAAGTTCTAACAGACAACTTTGGAACAGAATGTAATCTTTTGTACCTGAACGATGCCTTTGTTGAACAGAATTAGTTTTATTTCTCGAAACCCTTATCAGTTCAGGTAATTACCCAAACGGTTGTATAGTACCGTAGCTTCAAACGTGCTTGGTACTCTAAACAAAAGTGACGTTTGGGAAGCTGTCGTGTCGATATTACTTGTAGGTATAGTATTGCATATTTGGATACATTGTCGCGAATCCGCACTGGTATGCGAGACCAGCTGCTCGCGTCTCAGACGAAGTTATCTCGCCTGGGGACGGATATAGTCAGCTTTTAGGGATGCAGCGCCGGTTTTAGATCTTATCTGGTAGGTGTGACAAAATTTTATTATTCATACATACATGTGTTAGGTGACTCAGTTGGCGACGATCTGAAGAGGGGATATAAGCATTATTATATAGATAACACTTAGAATCTATTTAATAAGCTCTTCTACTTACTGGAGTAGTATTCCATAATTATTATGTAGGATGTTAGAAAAATATTGCGTTTGCAGCAAATGGTAAACTTTGAGACGTAGACTGCACCACGTGCAGGAAGAGGGTGGGTGGTGTTTGTTGTGAAAAAATAAACTACGCCATTGAAATGGGAATGCGTCAATGTCAACATTCATTCAGATATCTAGAGGTCTCCTGCGATCTCGTTTAATCAGTCGTAGATGCATTCTTTAATTCATACGCAAAACCATACATGAATTTACGCCTTTAAAAATAGGGTAGTCACTAACTACAGAGCGCCACCTAGTCGCGATCATTACATAGGTTTCTTATTAGCTTCCATCGAATGGCGGCTCATATACTTCGATCAAATATAACGTTTTGTTGATCGAAGGTGCTATAGCATAGGTACTTTCAGTACCAGATTATACCATGCCACATCCACTACTAACTAGGTGGTTTCTTAAACTCCAATGAAGTCTCATTTTATAGTGACCAGTTATGGCTTCATCCATTTTATTTAAATTTTCAAATTGTTGCCTATGTGTAGTTATCTTTTTGATTTTTACTAATATCATCATCATTTTACTTATCTTAGGCAACAACAGCTTTAACAATAATAGTGTGCGTATTGCCCCCAGCCAGCCCTGTGGACCAGTTCTATTTCTGATCAAGCCAAACTCTACACCATAAGATTTCGCAAAGTTATGTACATACCGGCCATGTTTTTACAGCAGGAGCGAGAATAGACTCAGTTACTATTGGATTTACTGCGTGTAAGGTTCAGGCAGAGGTTGAACCCATGAAATTACGCATTCCTGTGTACTATGCGAGTAATACAAAACCATATTTAGCAGCTCGGTAAAATTGAGTATCTAATGTAAAGTTAATATTTTATTGAGACGCTGATGGTTACAAAAGTCAGTTGTGTTATCCAAATTCGGTAGATATAGTATGTTGTTTTGACGAAATCTGTCATAGTATTTAGAGAACTGTAAAATGGGTTACCTATTGTTATTCAGTCGCTATGAATCATGGATTCATTGATCGAAAAGACGTGTGGCAATATAATTCAAGTAATCAAGTATTCAAATATATATTGCATCCATAATGTACACATACAGGTGGTTCGAAAAATACAATTACATAGTAACAATTATGGACCCTGTCGGGCACAGCAACATTTAAAATTGGTAGGAGAGAGGAAGGGCGATTCGTTAGATTACTATTAATTTGATGTCTTAGCAATAAAAAAAAGGTATTAGACAACTAAATTATTGTAATGAATGAATTTTACTCAGTCGTTCTTTACCTAATATAATTGTTTCAAGACTTTTCCAAACAAGTAGGTAATAAACGGCTTCAGAAGTAAAGATAATAAAATGATGTTACCAATCATTGTTACCAATAGTTATATGTATTAGGTACCTACTCATTAATACTTGAGACAAAACAAATACTACATTTCAAGTATTTTCAAGGACTGAAAACAAATGAACTAGATCACCGGAAAACTGGAACGACAAACTAGTTGCAGTCAGGTGATAATTTAATACTGACTGCAAATATATTAATGGTCTAAACTGCAGAAAAGATACTTCGTCACCGCATTGACTTTGATAACTTACATAGGACCATGGAAACTGTAATCTATCCACTGCTGCACTGGTGGGATATCCCACTGGTATGAGACCTGTCCCCACGTATATTGAAGAAAAGAAAATATTTTTCTT